TTTCCCACGATATTCCCCACGACAATGAAATTTTGATTAAACAGGATGGTAATCTCTGAAAACAGCATTACACACACATATATATATATATATATGCGCTGTATATACTACATATATGTACATTTACAATCATGCACATACATATCAGATGTGAGTAAACGAGGCGTTCTTGGATCGGCAGATGACGATATTGCCTGTTTTCTGCATATTCTGTCAATTTTAGTGGTCATATATTTTTTTTGCTGATCATGAGCATGTTTTTTTGGCGAATACCTGCATATTCTACACATTTATAATACGATATTGCATTTGTTCTGCATATTATGACATTGTTTATTGTTCATGGAAAGATTTGTTTGCAATTTACATGCATATTCTGCATATTTGCAGTACCATATGCATGGAAGACACGGAACGGTCGAAAAATGCGTCAAACATTTTGGAGTTTTAGGGGTTTCAGGACTAAATAAATAGGGTTAGAATGCCCGTCGCGGATTTTCCCACGGTATTCTCCACGATAATGAAATGTTGATTAAACAGGATGGTAACCTCCGAAAACGGCCTTGTACACACATATATGCGCTGTACGTATGTACACTTACAATCATGTACATACATATCAGATGTGAGTAAACGAGGTGTTCTTGGATCGGCGGATGACGATATTGCATTTTTTCTGCATATTGTGACATTTTTTATTGATCATGGGTAGATCCATTATTTTTCATTGTTTTTTCGTTATTTTGACGATGTGTTTCAGTATTTTTCATTGTTTTTTTCCTAATTATATGGTACAACCGAAAGTTATATTGCCACCCTGGTGGAAAGACATGGATTTCAAGAAAAAGCCCGTGTACCGCATGAGAAATCCGGGAGGCATTCTAACCTTATTTATTTAGTCCTGAACCCCCTTAAAAAATCCGGGACGGCATTCGGTGATCTTTCAGTATTTTGAAGATGTTGTTCATTATTGTTCAGTGTTTTTTTATTTTGAAGATGGTGTTCATTGATTCTAATTATTTTGAGGATGTTAGTTCATTATTTTTCAATGATTTTTCATTATTTTCAAGATGTGTTTCATTATTTTTCGTTGATTTTTCAATGTTGTTAATTACATGTTTTTCATTGATTTTTTAGTGTTTTTGAATTTGTTTCATTATTTTTCATCATGTTTTGGGTGGTTTTTTTTGGCAATTTACATGCGTATTCTACATATTTGCAGTACCATATACATGGAAGACACGGGACAGTCAAAAATTCGTCAAAAAAATTGGAGTTTTAGGGGTTTCAGGACTAAATAAATAGGGTTAGAATGCCCGTCGGAGATTTTCCCACGGTATTCTCCACGATAATGAAATGTTGATTAAAATGGTAACCTCCAAAAACGGCATTATGCACACATATATGCGCTGTATGTATGTACAATTACAACCATGTACATACATATCAGATGTGAGTAAACGAGGTGTTCTTGGATCGGCGGATGACGATATTGCATTTTTTCTGCATATTGTGACATTTTTTAATTGATCATGGGTAGATCCATTATTTTTCATTGTGTTTTCGTTATTTTGACGATGTGCTTCATTATTTTTCATTGTTTTTTCCAATTATATGGTACAACTGAAAGTTATAATGTCACTTTGGTGGAAAGACATGGATTTCAAAAAAAAAACGTGTACCGCGTGAGAAATCCGGGAGGCATTCTAACCTTGTTTATTTAGTCCCGAAACCCCTTTTAAAAAATCCGGGACGGCATTCAGTGATTTTTCAGTATTTCGAAGATGTTTTTCATTATTGTTCAATGTTTTTTATTTTAAAGATGGTTTTCATTGATGTTTCATTATTTTGAAGATGTTGTTCATTATTTTTCAATGATTCTTCATTATTTTCAAGATGTGTTTAATTATTTTTCATTGATTGTTCAATGTGTTTGCATGTTTTTCATCATTTTTCATTGACTTTTCAATGTTTTAAAGATGTTTTTCATTATTTTTCATTGTATTGTTGGGTAGATTTCATGCATATTCTGCATATTTGTAGTACATGGAAGACACGGGACGGTCGAAAATTCGATATTTTGGAGTTTTGGGGTCTTCAGGACTACATAAATAGGGTTAGAATGCTGTCCCGGATTTGTTTAGGGGTTTCAGGACTAAATAAATAGGGTTAGAATGCCTCCCAAATTTCTCACGCGGTACGCGGAAATGGATATCTAAATCCACTTGCCGCCACCAAATGGGCATTCTAACTTTCAGTCCGGCGGTATACATGTGGGGCCCCAGGTTCAAGTGCAGGTACACCCCTTGGACCTGAGCATCCCTCACACCTGCAGCTGCCTTGAATGTCCTGAAAAAGCGCTGCCCCGAAGAAGGGCTGCCCTGAAGAAGGGCTGCCCTGAAGAAGGGCTTTTGACAAGCTAGACCAGAAGGAAAATGCAGCACATGAAAAAAATCAGGGATCTGGGGGGGGCTTGTCAGTCTGCTTTGTAGACAGCAGCACATGTTTGCAGCTGCACACTGCATGTTCCACCACCTCATGCTCTCAGCCTTTTGCAAATTTCCAATGCCCAAGCTTGAAGGCGCTCAAAAGAGTTGCCTGAAACAGCCTGAATAAGTGTACGCACCTAGCCTTGTGTAAAGGCTGGGCCTTGTGTAAGGGCAATGGTGCTCATGAAGGCAGTGAAAAGAGGAGCAGGGGCTGGCAACAAAAATCCTGTCAAAAGGAATGCTTTCCCAGATGTCAACCAAGACAAACTGGATGAGGAAGTGGATTGCTACATCAGGTCCATGGGTGTGGCTGCCAGCTTTGATTTGCTGCAGTAGAAGAACTTGCAAGCCCAACAGGCAGAACATCCGAAGGCTTTGTTTAAGCTGCACAAGCTTCTGGAAGCACTTCTGAAAGTCAGTCCTTCTGGGCAAATCAAATATGGGCAACTGAGGCGAAGCTTGCTGGTAGCTTGCAAAAAGTTTGGGATGGAACTTCTTGCTCCACATTCGGAAGTGGAACATGCCCATTTACCTGGCAAGGCTTCAGATGCTTTGGGTGTCCTACTGAAGCATTGGAGAAGAGTGACATTCTCTCAGGCTGCATGGGACAGATTTGGAAGTAAGCTTGAAGAAAGCCATTTCAGCCAGTTGCAAAGGCTTTACAAAATGACGGAGCCTGAAGGTCAGGCTCAGAAACCCAAAAGGGAGCTCACAACCCACATCAATGATGTGACAGTGGAATCCACAGCCATGCCTGCTATGTTGAAAACTAGCAGCGAGGAAGGTGATGACAACTCTTCAGACTGTGGCCGCATGGGCAGCCTGATGAAAAGCCCGCCTCCTGTTGCCAAAGTGCTTTGGAGAGAGAAGGCTGGCAGACTTTTGAAAAAACCTGCCACAAAAGCTGTGGAAAAAGCTGGCCCCTGCAAAAGGCCAGCCACCAAGCACATGCCAAAGAAGGCAAGGTTGGCAGGTGGAGCTACAACCAAGATCCATACTGCTTCCTTGAGTGTAGGAGGTGGCAAAAACCAATCATACATACAGCATATTCCAGGGCCAGGCACTGAAAAGAGAATAATTGTAGCTTGCACAGCCAAGCAGGCTGCAGCTTTGAAAATTTCTCACAAGGCCCTCATGCAAGATTTCTACCCACATGTAAGATCCCTGGCACCACAAAGGGTGATATCCTCAAAGCCAGGGAGGATCTTTTCAAAAAATATTGGCCCATTGGCCTTGCAAAAAGGCTCCGCCCTGCAAAAGGGCCGGCCTGCAAAAGGGCAGCCCTGCAAAAGGGCAGCCCTGCGTAAGGGCAGTTGTGCCTGATTTTTTTGATGCAACAGCTGGGAGCATGCAACTACAGCCTGCTGGGTCAAAAAATGGGTCTGTCGCACCAGAAGACAGCAGCACACTTGAATGGATAGCCTGCATGAGTCATGGTAGTGGTGACTCAGCAGTTTGTATCTGAGACCTTTTTCCCTGCAGCTGCTTTTGCTCAAGCATTTAATAGGCAGGCATTTGTTCGCATTTTTTGGCCAGAAAGTTTCAAGTGTGGTGGCCTCGGAGAAAGGCAAAGCCTTGCATAAGCATAAGAGCAAAAGCACAATGTCAAGCATGGAAACTACTAAAAACCCTGACTCGGGTGATGGAGATGAAGAACTTGCAAAGGAGCCAACAAAGAAATCACCACCAAGAGGATGGCAGGGAAGCACTATGAAAGGTACCCCTGCCAGGAAGTCACCTCCCAAGCCTCTGCCCATGCTTCTGCAAGGGCCACAGGGAACCAAGGCACAGCAGCCTCCCAGGAAGAACCCGCCTGAGGCAAAAAAAGTGAAAGAAGAACAGCAGGACACCCAGCCAAAAGGAAGGGGAAGCCAGTCCCATCCCAACTACATACATATATATATATATATATATATTCTCAACATACTGGTTAGATCAGATAAATCTCAAAGCACTTCACTAGTGCTTTTTTTGCAGCCAGTAACAGACCTCTTGTGTTGTGCCCTGTGACTTTAGATTGGTGAGAAAGGTTTTCTCTTTGAAAGCTTGTGAGCGCATCAAGCCCTTGTCAGAATTGTGTTTCGTAGGCCACCGAAACACCTGCTGCGCCAGCTGAGGCCAAACTGTCGTTTTTTCTTTGGTGTAGCGTGTAGCCTCTGGTGTTTTGATAACTTTGATATAGAACCATGGGTGGAATCCATATTTGGAATGCACCAATCTTGTTCTCTTCGGAAGGCAAAGGCAGAGACGCCTCAGGAGACTCCTGCCGCTGAGGCATCAAAGTGACAACATCTGACAATGCTTTTTTTTCTGTTTCGATTCCACTCGGCAAAAGTGCCTTTTCGGCCGGCTCTTTTTTGACCTGCATCATACCGCTTCATTCTCTGTGCGCGGGCCAGTCCAGAGCGCAGTAAAGCACAATAAATCAATGGAGCCTCAGACAGGACATCTGACGTCTGTCCATCTCGAATTTGATTGTCTCCAATGGTGACTGCTAAGCGTCTGTCTGTCTCAAGCGCAGACTTGCCAGTGGATGTGGATTGCTCCGTCGGAGAATTCTTCAATTGCTGAACAATTGCTCGACGCCGCTGCTGGATGCAGTCCAAGCCTCCAAGCCTGGTAGCCCGCCAGGACGCTGAACAAAGCGCCTCCGCCAGCTTTCTGTTGCGGCCGTCGGTGTCCGACCCGTAGAATCGCTTGTCGCCAAGCTTCTCTGTTTGTCAGACCGGCCGACTTTTTCAATGCCGTGGCAGTTGGCTGCACTTGTGTGAACTCCCTTTTCAAGGTGTCCGGAGATACCTTGAAAGTTTTTGCCAGCCGCTCTAAGTTCCGCAGAACTTTTTCATGCTCCTCTGTTTCCTTGGATTCAGACAAATGGAAAACTTGAAAGGCGGCGAAGAGATGCCAACTTGGAAACTCATGGGCGACCACTTCCTCTGCCAGTGCCACCCATTCCTGCAAGCGATTGATTTGAATTTGAAAGTTATTCAGAAAGCCGACGCCCAAAGCAAAGTATAGAGCTAGAATGACTTGTTATGGGGGGATCTGGTGGACAAAAAAGAACATGTTTTGAACAATGAAAACAGGTTGACAGCGAATGTCCTCCATGACTGCAAAAGCCTTGTCCAGGTCAGCCTGAGTCACTCGGACTTCTAGGGCGAAACCGTCCTGGGGAACCGTCACTGGCTCCCGTCTGAGCAGGAGATCCTTTGTGAAGGAAGGTAAGGTGCAAACCTTGTGTTCCACAAATAGCGCCCTTGCAGAACAAATGAAGCGCTGGGCACGCAAATTGAGCTGCGCCACATCCATGTCTTCTCTATCACATTCTCTTGTGTAATCGTTGCTAATAGCGCATGCATCTGCTGCCATGGTGAGCAAAACCGCCTTGTAGGAAGTGAAATTGCGACAGAGCTGAATGGCCCAAACTGCTTCTGAGCCTCGCATCGCTTGCAAGCGGCTGCAAACTTTGAAGACGGTTTGCATATTCTTGCAAATCCTTGACAGTGGATTCAAGTAGTCGGACCCTTCGTCGCGGCATTCGACGGCCGCAGCCCACCACTGCGACAGAACCGTGCTATGCTGAACTTTCTGTGCAAAGGAATTGGCGCCGTGACACCATTCGGTCATGATGCACTTGAGCTCTGAGCAAGCTTGGAAAGGCCGATTAAGCAGGCGCGTGCTTGCATGCGCGCATCACGACCCACCAGCTTGATGTTCGTCATGGATGCCTGACTGTCATCGGCAGCATTCCTACGTCCACGATGCAAGTCTGTCGCAAGCTGTTCTGATGCAGCTGCATCGGTCACAATGATAGTGACGCTGTCTCGCAGGTGCTGAAGCAAACTTGTGTCTACTGCTGACTCTTCCACTTTGGAAGCCCGAGGGGGGTGCTTCTTCTCAACACAAAATGCTTCCATCAAAGCATCTGTGACTTGGGCAATGCTTTCAGCTGAGCCACTGACTGGCACCATTCCGAAACAACCACTTATGTTTGACAGGTCTGTGAGTACTGCCCGATACCTTACCAGCAGCTTTCCTTTGCGTTCGTCTCTCAT